ATATCAATGACACTAACATAACACTGGTTCACACGCAGAATCCAGACCTGTACAAAGTTACATAAGGAGAATTTAGTATAAGGCTGCAAAAACACAAGTGTATTATTCTCTCTGAACATTTCTATTGAAAATTCCTATAATAACAGCAATTCCGCAGGCAGAGTTCGGCAATTTTCCGTTTATGTTTTCTCTTGTGAGGGGACTAAGAAGCTGTCATTTTCATGAAGTGCCATTGCGAGTCTAAATTCAAACACTCCAGTGCCCAGAGGACACTGAACTCTGGCTCTTCGTACCGAAAAAGGGCTTTAAACGTATTCCCAATGTCATTCTGAAAGAGAGAGGAACGGGGGGAAACTGCAAGGCAAAACATGCTGTTCTTAAAGGGTATTTATGTCTTGTATTGCATAAAAAGTATTTAAACATAAGCTATTTACACAAGAAGCAAAACTGCAGATATTAATAATATATTAAGAATTATTTGTCTTAGTTTATCTTGTTTTAAGCATACATCTAGCTGAATTTTTGAGGTCCATGCATGCTTACTAAAATAACAATAAAAAGTAACTTTGATAATATGTTTCAAAATATTGTATGTTCGCATGAATTCTCAATTCATATCAGTGGCCCAATAAAATATTTTATTAAAAGGTTTTATTTTTACGGTACAGGTATCCTGATGGAGTCTGCCATGTTGAGATATCATGACCAGCTAAATATAAATTAATTTATGTCTAGACCCTATTATGTGACACTTTTGTTTGCAGAAATTGTTAATCAATGGCTGATTTTTACATAATACATCCTCCACACCACTAGGTGTCAGTATATATATATATATATATATATATATACACACACACCCAAAAAATAATGTAAATGAAATAAAGGTATATTCTCCAGAAAACAATTCTAAATGTTGGTTTTCAATTTAAAAATATCTTGTTTTAAAGGCATTTAGTTGTCATTACAGGAAAACAAGATTACAAATACTGTGCATTTGGTGTCTTGTTGCATTTTGACAGTTAAACTGACATTTAAGACTATTAATATAGTTGCTAACAATCTCATTACGTCTTTTTAATGGTGGCAGTGGCGATCGTGCCACACACATAATGACCTGCGTGCAGGAGCACGTCAGTGAAACCCAAATATTGATTACAAATTCACAGTGACTTTCCAATCCAGCCCTCTTTAATTGCATCTTCTCCTGTACAATCGTGATCCTGGACAACAGTCAACTCCTCTCTCGCCCCTCCCTTGTCATGCATCAGACCTGACTCTCTCCTTTGCCCCCCAGTGCACACTGTTGTTCCAGAGACGACACCATGTGCTTTCTCTCTCATCTCATTCTCGGGCCCTTGATGTCTGTAAATTGGCCCTCACACCGACGGCGTCTCCGGGCGATGTAGACTGTCGTTGCCAGCTGTCGCTGACAGAAACTGCCATCACCTCCAGTTCTTGAATATCTCACCTCGTTGTCCAGAGACTCAAGGAGCAGACAGGGCACTCAATAAATTAGATTTCTCAATGACCACGTCTCGCAGAGACCATAAACTGGTGGAAAACAGTGTCTGGATCTACAACTTTCGGATGACTACAGCTTGTATCTCTATCTGGATGAGTTATCAGAATCAAAAATGAAAAAAAAAATAAATAAATTTAGTGATGCTTCCTCCACACCACTAGATGTCAGTGTATATAAAAAATATTAGCGCTAGACAACACTTTGTAAATAAAACACCAAAATAGTGTAAATTAAATAAACATTTATTGCATAAAACAAGTCTAAAAGTGCTTTCACACCAAGAATGATAACTATAATGATGAATATAATGATAACTATATTAGTGTCGACACCAACAGCAGATGACACTATTATTATTATTATTATTATTATTATTATTATTATAAGCATGCACTGCAGTTTTGTCTCTAAATGCTTGAGCTCTTTAAAGCAGGATGAATTCTGATTGGCTGGCAATGTTTTTAGCGTTCAACAGTTGGAAACAAAAATTCTGAAAATGATTCCAACAATATTGTTCCATATGTGTACCGTTATCGATACCGTTGTGGTGTGGACTCTGTTATTTTTTTAATTTTTACAACAATTTTAAAAACTATATCTTTATCATTATAGTTATCACCCTTTGTGTGAACAGGCCTTAATTGTCTTACAGAATGTCACTTTAAAGTAAAAATCTTGTTTTAAAGATGTTTTTATTTTTTAGAAAAACAAGACAAACGTTTGGTTCATGGTTGCATTTGGGAAAGAATATACAACCATATTTAGTGTTAAAAAATAGGACTGTCAACTGTATTCTGCTGCTGTGTGAATGTCAATGTAACATGCAAGAAATTTTCACCATTTTTTAAGAACCGTCATTTGGTAATTTGACTGATTTTATCTGAAATGCGAAAAGACGGTTACGTTGCTACTTGTATTTCAACTTATTCTAGCCTAGTGTTAATTTTGTCAGCTATTTTCATTTTAGTCTTAGTCCCGTGTTAAAATGCCCTTGTTAGTTTTTATCATATTTAGTCAACCTTATCCTATTTAGTTTTAGTCAAGGTTTAGTCGACTAAAAGTCTCAATATTTTAGTCTAGTTTTAGTCCAAGAAAACCTGAAGTATTTTAGTCTAGTTTTAGTCAATTAAAACTAGACATTTTCGCAATAAGATTATTATAAATTAACCGTACAGTATTAATTTTGGCAGCCATTTTTAATTTAGTCTTACTCTTACTCAAACGTACATTTTATTTTAGACAACCTTGTCCTGTTTTTGTTTAGTCAAGTTTAAGTCGATGAAATGTATGAGCATTTTAGTCAAGTTTTAGTCAATGAAATCATTTTCGTCATTCTGTATAATGGTTAAACAGATAAAAAATATGTTTTCTTAAAATTATAATCGTAATGATTGTTGTCATTTGAGAAATGTACTTTTGGCATTTCAGATATTGCACTTTCTCCAGTAAGCACAAATCAATAGAATGTGGACACATATATGGTGTATTTTACCTAGTGTACTGATTTATTATAGGCTTTTTATTATATAATTTAATACCAAAGACTTATGCAATCTCTCTGTCTACATTATGAAAACAGCTAAAACAAACAAAAATATTATAACAGTGAAATTCCTAGTAATTCCAAATGGCAATAGCCTATTTCTCTATTAAAACAACAGCGGTTGAGTATTCAGCGATCACAATCGCAAATAATACAGTCGAGATCTCATGACAGAACATAAACCGGCTGAGTGACACACTCATTTAGATCGATAAACTCCAGCTTGTTTGTCTGTGTTTTCAGATCATCTTCCGCAATGAAGAGCATGCATGGTTGCCAGATTGCTTAAAATAAGCAAAACACCGGGCAAAAAATGTAGGCTATCAATGTAACAGCAAAGCTCTGATTCGGGGATTGGAACTCTTGATATCTGGCAACCGCACTCATGAGAGCTCACGTGGCAGAGGCGTGTAGAGCAGTCCGCAATAACATTTTGTCTCCTTTTTTTGATGAAAATAAAAAGAGGTTTTTGGTAAAGTTTGTATTTTTTTGAATACATTTTAGTCTCATCTTATTTCGTCAACGAAATTGCATGTTTATATAGTCATAATTATCGTTTATTGACCTAATTATCGTCTCGTCTTCGTCTCGTCTTAGTCATTGGAAAAAAGCTCGTCAACGAACATTTTTCTTCATAGTCTTTGTTAATGAAATTAACACTATTCTAGCCAAACACTGGACACTCAGCAAAGAAAGGTTGAGAGGGAAAAAAAAAATAATAATATTTTATCATGTTTTTAAATGCTGTTTAGTTGGTGAAAATATACAAAAAAGTTGGTACGAGGGTTGCCACGAAACAAAACTTGCCCAACTGTTACTCAAAACTTTCCCAATCACAATTTTTTTCGGTGGTTTTCCCCTCCATCGAAATCACAAAATGACTTTAACCCTCAGACTAAACAACAAGACTAGGCTAGTGTTTTTCAGTCAGTTCTTGCCATCTTTGTGCAATGTGCATCAGAGAGTTAGCGAACAGACTGTGGGCGATCTGTGGGCGAGCCAGCAGTCCGTCTGAGGCTGGTGCTATGCTACTACCAACTTGATATAAGGTGTAGGCGGCAGTCACATAGTTTCTAACTGATGTATGTTGGTCCATTGTGGTCTAAATAGCTGAACACCTCAAGTACCATCTAGTGGACCTCATTTTGACCAGGTAGACTATTTTGGTTAAGCTTATTAGAGCTGCTAGACCACCTTGCTCTTTGGTGTTTTATGAAGTGAATTATTAGCTGCCGAGAGCATCAAACAAATTCAATTCAATTTTGCGCAATAAAGAGTTTTGGTACAGCATTGGGTCATCACTGTAAAATCTATCCTGAAGCAAAACCAGTTGCTGTACGCGGTCCTCTGTTTTCCTACGTGACCGTTGTGGATGTCATTAATCAATTAACTGAGTTGTCACCATTTAAATTGGTTCAAATATCAATAAATATCTCTGGACAAGCATCACATTCCTCAGATAAATGTGAAGGGACAGATTATGCAATACAGAACAATTCTGGGTAACAATTTCTTTGTCATGCTTTTTATTTCGTTAGCACGTAGTCAATAGTATTGATTCCTTCATTAATTATACTCTAGAGTGTTTACCCCTTGTGCTTTTATTGACTTCACCACAGCATACAAGACAAAATACAGGCATACAAAATTTCAAAATCATTTTATGACTTAGAAATAGTACTTCAGTAATTATGCATATCATTGCTTAAAAATGTAATGTTCTACTCAATCCTGGATTATTGTGTCCAAAGCGACACATAAAATATTAAAGATAAGAGAGGAAAATAACCTTGCATGCATGCTTCTGGTATCCTGTTATGAATATTCCCAAATTTTTGTTGACAACCTTGATGCACGTGTACTCTGTCTTGTAGCTGACTGGGAATTGGGAACCTGTCAGCCTTTATATAACATTTAGCTGTTAACCTTTACCTGTGCACTTTCTGCTAGTGTCTTCTTTCTTGGAGGAACTCATGAGCTTGCAGTTGAAGTTCTCCTCCCAGAACTCAGCAAACCAGACGTTTCTTCTGTTGTTCTCCAGCGTGCGTGAAATAAAGTAGGCGTCGAAATCTGAAAAAGAAAACGTAACACCATTAGCGATAGCATCAGATAATTCTTAACATTACCTGAAAAGCAATGTTCCTTTGTCTTGATTACTGATACACTACCAAAAAACAAACTACATCCACCAAAAAACACAATATGTACTGATAATGTACAAACATTGCCAAGTTTGTTGGTGTTTCCAACATATTTGCATGGCAATTAATAACTATTTTATGTTTTGATGAATTGGTGGCTAATTTCTATGAATGTGTACAATCTCATTTGTGCATTTTTACACAAGAAAACACAAAAGAAGATAGGTTAAAGAATGTTGGTAACCAAATATTCGCCGGTAGCCATTGACTTCCATAGTATGAAAAAAGTACTGTGAAGGTCAGTGACTACCATTGTTGGGAGTAACGCATTACAAAAGTAATAATATTACAGTAGTATATTACTTTTTGCGGTAACGCAGTAATATAACGCCAGCTCCAGAGAAAAAATTCCGCAGGTAAAATAGTTTGTCTATCTTCTGTTGATGGAATTAGATGGTTGAGATGACTGCAGAGACGGATTCTACAGTTGTGAGATGGACACTCGGAGAAAAGGATAAGAATGCATAGTCAGGTGCAATATATGCGACACCAAACTCTCAACATGGAGAAATAGCACAAGTTATCGGAGAGAGCTGCGGGGTCGGAGAAGAGAAAAAAGGCGGCGGACGAGCGCAGACAAGCAACAAAAATAAGTTTAACTAAAAATAACAAAATCTGTTTTTATTAAATCATAGCCTATATATAAAATGAATGAATATGTTACAAAAATAATAAAATATTTGACTTAGCCTAATTAACTGTTAACTCAGCAGCATAGCCTATCTCTCTATTATCTATTAATAACAGATTAACAAAACAAAAGGAAAAAACTGAGAGATAGGCTATGCTGCTGAGTTTGGTTCATATGCTATTTG